GGCTCTCGCCGGCCAGAATTTCCGTCAGTACAAGGGCGTAGCGTTGGACCCCCGCAATCGCCGCTTCAACATTGATGGCCGGGTCATGGTCGACGCCGAGACTCACCACCGCATCATGGCCGACTACGCCTTTAACGTCAGCTCGTTTCCCAAAGCAGCAGGCCGGAAGCGGAAGCAGGACGATGAGAGCGACGACATGGAACTCGTTCCAAAGGAGACTGCCGAGTTTGCGCCTCTGACGGACGAGGAATGTCTGCTGGCCAGCCCCATGGTCCGCGGCTTCAGCTTCACCGAGAAGAAGTTCCTCGACTTCTTCGTCGACAAGATCAGCCCAATCGAGTGGAACACGCAATGCTTCGAGCAGCTCGTCCTTCCAGACTCCCAAAAGGAGCTTGTGCAGGCTCTTGTCGCGGAGCACACCGCCCGGACCACCGATCCAAACTCGTCAGCGTTTGATGACATTGTCAAGGGCAAGGGCAAGGGCCTCATTCTCGTCTTGCATGGTCCTCCTGGCGTGGGAAAGACCTTGACGGCGGAGTGCGTGGCCGAGTTCAGCCGTCGGCCGCTGTACATTGTCTCCTCGGGCGACCTCGGTACCTCGTCAGAGGTCCTAGACGATAAGCTAACCAAGACGCTCGATCTGGCGAGTACCTGGAAGGCGGTGCTCCTCATAGATGAGGCCGACGTCTTCCTCGAGCGTCGATCACTGCACGATATGGAGCGCAACAGTCTCGTGTCCATCTTCCTGCGCACACTCGAGTACTACAGCGGCATTCTCTTCATGACGACGAACCGCGTACGGACCTTTGACGACGCCTTCAAGAGTCGCATCCACGTGCCTCTCAAATATGACGACCTGCCGCGAGAGAGCCGGTTGAAGGTGTGGAAGAACTTCCTGGGCAACGTCGAGGGTGGTGTCGACATTGACGAGGACGGGTATGAGAAGCTCGCCGAGGGCAAGTTGAACGGGCGGCAGATCAAGAACGTGGTTCGGACGGCCAAGAGTTTGGCTGCGCACAAGAAGCGTAGATTGGACTGTGAGCAGCTGCAGCAGGTTGTGGATATCCAGATGACGTTTGAGAGGGAGCTGGACAGTGTGGATGGTGACATTGATGTGGTTGTACGATAGAGAGAGGGGACTCGTAGTCGGTGTAAACGGGAGCGAAAGCCCACGGGAGCCAACGGGATCGGCGCGTTGGGGGAGGGCATGTTGGTGACCTGTGCTGATGAGTTTTCCGGGGGAGCAATAAGATTAAGTTCGCTTTCTGTCATCTCCGCGTTCTTGACTCCGCAGTCGTTGAAATGACGACGTGCGATGTTGTTTGTTACCAGTGAGGAGCCAACGGCTCGCGCGAAGCCCCCAGAAACAAACAGGGTAATGAGAGTCGAGACTCGGGACGCAAACGCAAACATCGCTGGTCAAAGACAACATGGCAACCAACAAGAATATGACCCCACAGCTAGATGAATGGACGGGTAGATACTAACGAACGTCAAGGGGAAAGGCGACAAACATACCCGATTCTGCAATAAAGGTGGCGGAGTCCATCTTTTTTTGGACTCTCGTCCCGGTAGACAAACGCAATGCCAGGTGCCCTGAAAGGTTCAATTTGTTGGTCGTATTCTTTACGGGTTCATCGACGCTGTGTCGTAATTATGATGGCGACTGTCAGCAAACCCGACGACATCGCTCACCTCTGTACTACTTCAGCACCTTTCGTTCTGTCCCAAGATTAACACGACGACTGTGGGAGTTCGTGATCGAGTAGCGCTTTCCTGTTGTCAAGGCAAGCTGGACGCTTCCCAAGAGTCGCCTGCAGTCTTCTAATCCCAGTCCTTCTTTCCCCGTATTCACATTCTGACCCTAAATTCCTGAGCATGAAGCTTTCAAGTAAGTGTGCCCAATGACTCTCGGCAGATCTCAATATTGCTCCAAGCTGAGGGCACCTCAGCTCAGCCCAGACTTGTATCTCTACCGAAAGAGCCCTAGTCCCGGAGGCGGCTCACACGCTTGTGGCGCCCCCCTCACGAGGACTCGAGGACCGGCAAACCCGCCAGAGCCAATCGCGCGAGACGCACGACCAGTTAGCGTGTATGGTACCGTGCCGCCGGGTCACGCCAAGCGGACGCCCCGTGTCTCGTTGGTCTGGGGAGATTGGGTGCCTCCTTTTCTTGGGTTGGATGAAGTTTGGGTGAAAGCTGGCAAGGTGGGTGAACTTGGGTGTGTTGGCCCTGGCCCCCCTTGGGAAACTAAACTCCAGCTCTGGGGCGGTCTGGCTTGAGACGGGGTGGCTGAAAGGCTTTGAACCCATCTAGACTGCAAACAGACTAAGCGAATTGCAAGGGTGAAACTGTGAGTCGGTGACGCGATTGGTTCGGAGACGAGTTGTCATGGCATGTCGTGCTCAGTCTAGATCTCTCCCTACTTCAGAGGTGAACAAGTCATGAGCCGTCGATGCTCGGAGCTTCTTGTCTCCCTCCTTTCACCTTAGGTAGGCCCGGTAAAGGCGGTAATGACAGGCATGGGGGAGCCCTGGCCCCATGTTCTTGGAAGGACAAGGTCTGCGGGAGAATTCCCTTGTCCACGCCCTGGCTAAGATGCCGATTCAATGGCTCGATTTGGTCCAACTAATTCCCGAAACTGCGGTCAGCAAACGGTTGCTGTCTTATTAGACTGGGTCGAGACATGCCACTCCAAACAGAACACCGTCATATGCTTTGCCTGGACGGCGCGGATACGCGGTCAATGAGTTGGACTACGTCCAACTCGCTTCCACACTAGTTTCCCCGGCAGGCACAAGCACGTTTTCGAACCTCCTTGGCGCAAACGTGGGCAATATTGATATATCAGGGCTGTAATCCTTCGTGTTGGCATATTCTGTGCTTCTCCATATCCAACGTCCGGGCAGAGCATCTTGACAGAGTGCGAGAAAAGTCTTTGCATGGCCCGCAATGATTTTGGAGCAAGGAGGAGTACGCCACATGCCGCCTTCAACATGCATTTTACTCATTTGACAGCTGCGCCTTCTTCTGCCTCCCCATCTACGACGAGGGACTATCCGAAGATCGATGTTGAGCTTTCGGTCATTCCTTGCTCTGGCAGTGAGGGTTCATGGACGCTGGAAAGGCACGTTCATCCAAGGCAATGGAGCCAGGCGCGGAAGACATATGATACGTGTTTGATTGTCTTTCTTGAGTTCTTCACGTATGTCAACCTCGTCTTACTGTCTAGGGATCACAGCTGACTCTATCTAGTACTATGATCAGCACCGCAGGAGTATGCTCTCCTCAGTTTTCTTCCACCTGAATAAGTATGTACTGATGCTGATATTTTCAATAGTCACCGGTTGCTGGACACATTTACGGCGATCTCAATCTGAGCCCAGTTGCAGCGACTTGCATTTTTGTTTCAACGTAAGCGAGATGGAAGAAGGGGCCCTTTTTCCACTACTCAGATCACTCACATTGCCACATAGATATCTCATCGGCCAGACTATCGGAGGACTCTTCTTCCCACCTTGGTCAGAGTCCTTTGGCCGTAAGAAACTCTACGTAATCAGCACCGGCATATACAGCCTGTCATGCATTCTCGTCGGCAAGGTGCCCACAATTCCTGGCATCGTTGTCGGTCGTTTCATCGGTGGACTGTTATCGTCTGTCCCTACCATTGTTGCCACGGGCAGCATCGAAGATCTTTGGGACACCAATGCGCGGGTATGGTGGCTGTACTGGTGGTCACTGGTCGCGAACCTCGGGATATTGACGGGGCCGGTCTTCAGTGACTTGGTCATGAGAAGTACTCACTGGTAAGACCATGATGTCTGGCTCAGCTTGAGTGTACTATAACTGATCATGGACTCCATAGGACGTGGGTGTTTTACACTGCGGCCATAGTCACAGCATGCGTCACGATGCTGCTCCTCACAATCAGGGAGTCTCGTCCCTCCGTCGTACTAGCGAGGGCTCAGGCACTCACCGAAGTCCAAGGCCTAAATACCAACACCACCTCACCGGACAAGGTTTTCCCTTCGACTCACGAGAAGCTCGACCTTCTCCGCCCCCTCCGACTCTTCTTCACCGAGCCAATAGTCTGCCTCGCCGCAGTCATCAGCGCCATCGCCTTTGGGCTCGTCTACCTCTTCACCGAGGTCCTACCCCTTGTCTACGTCGACATGGGCTTTACCGATGCATCGGTGAACTTACCCTTTCTCCCTCTTGCAATCGGTATGGTCTTCAGCGCACTCACACGTCTCTACGATCGTCGAGTCCTTGCCGAGAGGATGTCAAGATCGCTACCACTCACACCCGAGTCGAAATTCGCAGGCTTCATCATCGGAGCCCCGTTGTTGGCTATCGGCCTTTGGTCATTTGCCTGGACTATCCCGCCCTACACGACATCAGCACACTGGGCTATCCCGACGATAGCACTCGTACCCATAGGCTACGCAGTCAACGAGTTTGACTACGTGCTGGCTGGATATCTCACCGACTGCTATCAGACATACTCGGCCAGCAGCTACGCTTGCATGTCACTCTCACGTTCAACTTGCAGTGCAACGTTTCCTCTCTTCGGACGAGCACTGTTTGACTCCTTGGGCTTCAACGTCGCAACTTCCGTGTTTGCAACTCTGGCCACGGTTCTGTGTGCTGTACCTCCATTGTTGTTGAGGTACGGGGGTACACTTAGAGCCAAAAGCGCGTTCGCGAGCAAGGATTCGAGAGATCTGGCTACCTTGTGAGGGGGTACTGACCCCTTTTCGTGTACATATTCATGCAAAACTTACATATGACGTTAACCAACATGCAAGTATTCAGAGTACAGTTCAGAACGGAGTCCGTGATTGTTGCAATAGCGGGGGCACAAGTGAGCATGAAGCATACTATTGCTATTACAACTAACTAGAGCTATCGGCAAACTATGACATGATACAACCCCTCGTGAGATCGAGGAATGCCGACAATACAGCCGGATGAAGCTGCATGAGACTCTTATTGAATTATCAATGCCCGTTGGTAGCTCCATTTCTGTGACCATTCGAAGAAGGAACGAGGCCCTTTGTCGAGTAACCCAAGGGCATGCCAACCAGGTACTTCTGCTTGCTCGTAGGTGTGCCATCCGCAGCCTGACCTTGGGCACCTAGAATGTGAACCTGGGCGTCCTGCTGGAACACAAGGATGATGTCGGAACCTCCAAACTCAAAGTGAGATATCTCGTCGCCCTTATTGATGTTCACATTCGGCTGAATCGGGTATTGCTGTCCCGGTCCAGGCTGCCACTGAAGATTGACCGACGAAACCTGGGCCATCCCGATGGGCAGCACAGCGACGTAGCCGAGAAGAGGATTTTTGATGATGACGCAACCGCGGGCTTGGAGAAACTGGTACCCAGCCTCGTCGGGCATGCTGAGGGTGCTGTTTTCTCCGTCACCTTCCTTTTTTGCTTGGGCGTCTGGTGAAGTGTAGCTACGATGAGGCTTCAGCTTGCCGGTTTCGGGATCGACGATGACCTGCAAGTATGCCAGGCCCTTGATCACGTTGGCCTCGACGACAGTTCCAGCCACAGGTGCTTGTTGGCGATGGTAATCGTAGGTGTTGAGGTATGCATGCATAAAGGTGCCGCCCTCGAATTTGTCGGCGTACTGACTGCCGGCGAGGAGGTCTTTGATGTTCCAAGGGACGTCTTTGATCGTGATATCGTTGTTCTGATCAACGGGCCAGGCTCCGTCGAAAGTGCAATCGGCGGGGTAGACCACGAGACGGTTATAGTCTACATCCGAGGGTTCACCCGCGCTGATGGGTCTCTGGCCAGGCTTCAGAGAGCGAGCAAAGAGCTGGTTGAAATTCTTCCAACCCTCGGGCGGCACGATCGCCTCATCGTAGTTGTATCGGGGTGAGTCTTGGAAAGTCTGGATTGCTGCGGCGTTGATCGAGCTGCTGGTGTCCATCCAGCTTCCAACCTTGTTGGCAAAGTCGATTGTCCATTGGCTCAGTGGTAGGGGGGCCTGCCCGACAGCGTTCGGGGTGATGGGTGTCGAGTATGGGGGAATGTTGATGGGGCTCTGGTCGAGAATAAAGTAGAGAACGCAGAACGTGTTGTAGATGAGCTTCCCGCTGCAAATTTCCGAAGGCACCCAGTTCAGCATGGCACTGAGGAAGCGGAGAAAGGTGTCAGCGTCCTTGATCCCCCAATCGCGCAGCTGCGGAATTTCTTGGGCAGTTGCTGCGTTCACGGCCTCTTGCAAGAGGGTCAGATTACCATCGAATATATTTTCGACGAGGTTGGTTTGTATCCATGGGTCTACTTTGGAAGATAGAGGGAAAGGGGCGGGATCGGGCGGTGAAGATTTCGGAAACATGGCTGCGCTGAGATTGTGATGGAGAAGATCAGTCTGGATCTGAAGATAGTAAGCTAGCTAAAGCAACTTTGGGTGAGGAATGATAGAAGAAAGATGCCACAAAGCCAAGGTTTGTCAATATCTTATAACCCTCGAGACGAGTAGCTCTCTCGAGCGTTGCCGAGCTTAGAAATGCGATTGCAGCGAGAAGAATCACGAGACTGCTTCAGCTGATGCTACTAGATGCTGGCTTTGCGACGTTTGCATTCCCAATCTCTCGTGTCTGGACCATTTGCTACCAGTATGTATCCTCATCGGTCCATTGTGAGAAGGAGCTGAAAGCCACGTACTCAAAGAAGTGATGCCTAGACTGCAAACATCACCACGGAACTTGCGCTGTGGTACTTGAGCTGAAGGTAGTAGAATGCACATCGCTCATCTACCGAGTGCCGGGAATATCATGATTCGCATGGTTCTTGCTGGAACGGCCCAACCGCTGATGTTCTCTTCGTCGGGTGAGTGAACACGACATGTTGGTGGTTCGTCCCCAGACTCGAGACATGTGCCATTGCCTCAGCTCCAATTGGGACTGAGACAGCGGGCGGCAAGTAAGAGCTCCCGCGGCCGGAGTAGGACTAATGTGCTTTGCTTTAATTTCTGTGGATGGACTAGATCGAAGGGACACTCAGGGTCTGGATGCTCTGTAGCACGAGCTCTTATGTCAGTCCCGGATCGCTTACCCTGTAGTATTGATGTGGTTGGTATACTCGTTTTCTTCGATGACTGAGAGACCAAGAGCTCCCGTGTAGGAGACGCAGCTGCCATGAGCCGATCGTCTGGAACCAAGTTCTGAGACGGCTCTGCAAAGTTTGCCGCAGATAATAACATGGCTTGTGTTCTAGGTAAATCAAGGTACCCACCCTGCAGGTGCTTTAGGAAAAGAGCATTGAAAGACGGTCATGCTGCGCTGGTACATGTGCTAGAGCATTGCCCTCGGCCTCCGATATTGCAGCCAAGCTCTGTTTGGCGCTGCGAACAACGCTTACCATAGAATTCCGCAGCAGGTACGCTTGGTCCTGCTACCGGAAGACATACCAGGCACCAGTATTCCAGAAATCATTTGTAATAAAATGGTCAAGAATGGATTCCACTTCCCCTTGAGTAACCTCACCTGAGTTGTATGATGATCAGATCAATGCCTTAGTGGGCAAGACCTATGTGCCTACAGTTCTTTGGTACTTATCTTCGGTAGGGAGGTTCGTGTCCGTTTCCACTGAGCAATGTCAAACTGTGTGGGCTGGGAATCTGGTCAAGTAAAGGTACCTAAAGTAAGTAAGTAGCGGTACTGCTGGGTCAACGTGAAGCAGCAGAATAACTTGCTTTGGGGGAGATAGGGGCTCTCAAGCCGCTCTAATCTCCTTCCGCAGAAAACTGTTATTGGAGGCGGGAGCGATTCTGAATGTTTCTTCATAGCCGTGATAGGGACGAACCCAGCGAAGGGTTCCGGAAGCCGGGGAAGAAAGAGAATATCGGTACCTACTCTTGCCAATAGATCATGGTTTCCCTTGGGAACCGGAGCCATCCAAATGAGTAGATGCTCGAGAAACGAGGCAACCGTGGTTCAATCTATCATCTCCAAGATCTCAGGTAGTCCTGACTCCAGACTTGGCATGATAATGGTGAAGTCTGGCCTACCTGGGAAATACGTTTGGCACTGTCCGCAACTTTCCGTAATCACAACAAAGCTTCAGATGTGGCTTTTAGAAGAACACCCGGCAAACTAATGAACGGGGAGTTCTACCATTTGAATACGAGGTACATGTCCTCAACGCATGACTAAGAATGTCGTGGGCACAGGGTTAATACCAGGCTCATGTTATGTATTGATCTTGGTAAGGTGTCGTTCTGAACACATAACTTAGGATAACAGAGATCGACAGGCTGAATGGACCCATAACAACGTTACCTTGCATCCGGTTGCTGCCGGGGCACTTCTGCTGCGCAGTTTTATCCCTAGGAAATGACAGGTAGTGTCAAGTAATGACATGAGTGCCTCAGTAGCGGTCATGCTCTCTCATCGCTTTTGAGAAATGGATCCCACTAGCCTTACTTTGACCACATAGGTGTGTCACAGTCCTTATCATGGAAGCACCAGACTTCACTTACGTGCAAGTCATTCGCTGTCAACGTTGTCCTTCCTTATTCGGAGTCAAGGCCTCATATATTTCCGTTTGTGGCCAAGTCGGGCAACTTCGCCATGCCACACGGCCCCTTCCGTGAAGACGGATGAAATACAGACGGACAAATGGATTTCGTCCATGCCGAAAGAGGTTGATTTCAACTTGATCATGTACTTATGGCAGGCTAAATTCAAAGTAGGCGATACGTAGTCTGTAACAACCCACTGTTCGCTTCCTGGTAATTGCCCGAGGAAGGACGAAGCCGATTGGCCATGAACGTCAAGATGCTTGTCAACTGCACTCTAAATTTCTGCTTCCCCATACCGTCGGATTTTGTATTTCATGCCAGGGCTACCCTTTTTTCTGTTTAGAAATACTGCTGCCTCGTGCGGAGACGGTACAAAATGCTGCTGCCTTGAGGGTGGAGGTTAATGTAGTAGGTCGCGGGCCTTTAGGCGCGCTTAACGCAAGGCGATAACTGCCACTCTGGGATATAGATGGTCCACATTTAGAAATCCTTCAAATTACTGTAAGGCTTTGCGGCAGGATCATTTGGCACATATTGATTATGTCTGCATGAGACGTGAGCCTACGGAAATACCGGCCTAGAAGTCTTAATGGTCTTCGTTTTAGACTCAAAGTTGGGACTGAATCATGAGCCATAGTTTCATGGACAGTGAATTGACTCCGCGTCACATCTTTAGCTCATTCCAATCTACTGCCAAGTCAGAGCAAGTGATCTCGACCTGATTGTATCTCCCATGGAAAAAGTCGGGACAAACATAAAATCAAGAAACGCCATTGGGGTAATTATGACAAACTCGGATGCAATTGGCCAAGTGCTTGTCGTTCATGCAGGGGGCAGAATGCAAAAGACTTCATCTGGAGCTCAGCCCTCCTTGAGCCACGGAGGCGCCCTTCGCCTTTCCGCTCTAGGGATGTGTTAAACTGTTGCCTAACTGTTGGTTCCACGATTAATTCGTCGTAAAACTTTACGAACCACACTTTTTCCACACCAACGGTTACTCCTGGTTCACCAGCATCCACGTGCGTCCATACGCAAGTGAGCAGCACTATTGTCGTAAAAGGAGGTTTCACTCAGGCCATTGACGGCTGCCGAGTTGTGGCGAAGCTGTCAATGGGAGATCGACTCAGTGTCATTATAGCCAATCTTCAAAACCCGATACGAATGGGGAGGCAGCCAGGCCACAGGTGATGGGTTAAGTAACTAGCCGCTTGATGGGGCTGATCCCAAAGAGTGTCTAGCATCATGTCCCGTACCTCCATCGGTCTAATTCTAAAACCTAAAGAATGGGTTTGTGACGATGATTTGTCGAGTCAGGAGAGATGATCCATGGTACAGGCCAGCAAGGTACATCTAGTCTAGGAGCAGCCTGTGGCAGTACCTGGGTAATGTTGAACTGATCAAGAAGTCTGTACTCTAAAGTCTTTGTCTGGGTGCTGCGAGCCACATGAAGTCTCCTTTATTTAATAGAATACCATGTGTTCGAACTTCCTCTTGAGAAAAAATACCTCTGATCCAAGTTTTATTCGGAGTCGTTCCAATTCACTGTACGTTCGTTGATAGCGTTCTGCAAACATCCTTATTTCTGAGACTCTTTTCTGTGATACCCGACTTCATTTTCTCTACAAGCTTCTAGGATTATTACCCCCAACCTTACTCAGCCCTCTGTTCATTCTTTACTTTCACGATATATCCTCAACTTTAGCGACGTATTCCTTCTTCGATTCTTCTCCTCAACCTGTTCGAAAACCGAGAACCATCAACGATTACCTCCAACGAAAGCATAAGAAGGAAACGTTTCTGGTGTCCAAGATGATAGCACTCCCTGGAAAAGCAATGTTGAAGGCTTCGGCGCTTGTTACCTTAGCCATGACGGCCGCCTTGGTTGTTCATCAACTCAGCTACGCAAACGACTTCGCTCTCCCAAACCAGTCCATAGAATTGGTCAGGTTCTGTAATGCTTCTGAACGCTATGGAAAAGACCTTATACATCCCACCGAAGCATCCACACCACAAGAGCCCATTCCTAAAATTATTCATCAAATCTGGAAAACCAACGATACAAGCACTTATCCAGGTTCGGGGGAGCGCATACAAGCTTCATACGAGACGTGGAAACATACGATGGAACCTCTCAACTATACCATCAAACTATGGACAGACGAAGATGTTCTCGAACTTATAAAGACAGAATACTCTTGGTTGCTATCGACATACGAGGGCTATGCCCAGAATATTCAACGAGCCGATGTGGCGAGACTGGTCGTTGTCCATGCAGAGGGAGGCATTTATGCAGACTTGGACGTATACCCCAGATCGACTGAGGTGATGTCCTGTATGCAAAGCCTCGGCTTACAGGCTGTCTTCGCCCCGACATCAAATACTCTTGGACTCAGCAATCACTTCTTCATGGCACAGCGTGGCTCCTCCTTTCTCGAATGGGCTCTCCAAGAAGCTAAGCGACGCGGCGGTGCGACCTCGAAACGAATCCTCCTTCCCTACCTCCAGGTGTTCTGGTCGACAGGCCCGATAATGGTCACATATGCGTTCCATCAGTACGCGTGGATGTACAGCACATTGCATCACGGCGTGGCGTTGCTGGATGAGGGATACGCCCGGAAGCTGTTCGGCCACGCGGCAGGACGCTCGTGGCATGGGTCAGATGGGCAGTTCTTGAACTACGTATCAGATCACCTGGGAACTGTTTTGTTCTGGGTTACTGTGTGCCTATCTGTGCTGTCTTTGGCGACCATAATCGTCCTTAAGAAGAGTCGCGGGAAGTCCATTGACTTTCTTGTCGGTTGCGGATCTGTTTG